TTTAGAACTCTGAATTAGCTTTCCAAATCTTCAAGCATTTCATTATTTAGAGTTTAGAGCACAAAGTTATGGCCATTTTACCAAAGTAGGTCCGGGCGGAGCAAACCAAGCATAGGGCATTCTGGCCAATTTTCGAGTGCTCGAGGCCTTATTTCGAGTGCTTGAAATTAGGGCATATTGCTTCACGAGATCAGCCACTTGTGCTCAGAAATTTGCTAACTTTGTATGCTCTCTTTATGAGTTGGTTGGGGATGTTTCTTGGAGGAGAGAGAGGGCTTTTTGGGTGGAGTAACATGTCTACAAAAGAGGGGAGCCAATTCTGAAATTCTGGCAGCAGTGAAGCTTGATTTTGATTGCCACTTTTGACCCAGAAAATTCGAGATCTGGACTTCCATTATAAAATGGAATATTTAGAGCTCTGAGTTAGCTTTCTAAATCTTCAAACGGTTTGTCATTCGGAGCTCGGAGCAGAGAGTTATGGCCTTGTTACCAGAGGTGCACAGAACTTCCTAGCAGCAATGAAATTCTGCCTTGATCTTCATTTTCGACCAACCATCCTTGAGAATTGGATCTCCACCAAAACATGAAGTATTTAAAGCTCTGAATTATCTCTCCAAATATTTAAACGGTTCATCATTCACAGTTTCGAGCGCAAAGTTATGGCCATTTCATCAAAGTAGGTCTGGGCGGAGCAAGTGAAGCATGGAGCTTTTTACACTAAATTCGAGTGCTCGAGGCCCTATTTCGAGCACTCGAAATTTGGGCAGAATGCCCTTCGGAAATGGCTCATTTCAGCCCACTTGCACCTTGGTTTCTTCATTTTGTTTTTCTCTTTAATGAAGTGGTTGGAGATGTTGGTTGGTGGCCTCTTGGAGTGGATAAGATATCTAATAAAGGGAAGGAGGCCACACATTGACATTAAGCTTCATTTTTACAAGATAGAGGAGAGAGAAGAGAGCAAGAAAGAGGGGTTCTTCAAGCTCCAAAGAGGGTGCACGAAAATGAAGATGAGGATGATGCTTCTTCCTTCTTCTAGCTCACCAATGGGCAACTAAACCTCATCTAGGGAGGTGATGAAACCCCTCCCTTGTAAGCATGTGTTAGTATAGTTTATTTTTGGGGATTACAATGTATTTTTGATAGTCTTTCCATGATCAAGAGCCTCATTTTTGTTGTAATGAATGCTGAATGTTTATAAATGATTATTGTGAGTTATTCATCTTGTCTTGGATGGTTACTTTTCTTAATCATATTGTTTGCACTTCCATGGTGACAATGGAAGTTAGATCATGGAATGGTTTTAATGGCATGGAGTTGGAGAACCTAGATAGTTCATGGCTTAGGGTTTCCCTTTGATGGTCTATACTTGATTCTTTGCTTTATGTGCATTCAACATTTAAATTAGGGCTTGATAATCCTTGACTTAGTAAGCATGTTCTAAGCTACATTTTAGTTTAGGTAGTTGATCATGTGAACCTTTGATGGTTTATTCTTACCTTCCTATTTAAATGAACTTCTTGAGGATATTATAGCAACCTAGTATTGTTATATATCATGACTATCATATATGTTGTTTTTCCCTTAAATTAATCTTAACCTAGCATGTGTATAGGGATAGAGGTGGATTCATTTCGCTAGCCTTCTTTACTTGTACTTCACTCCCTTGAATTCTTGCAATTTATTGTTTTATGCACTTTTAATTTCCTAGCTTAAGTGACATCCAACAAAACCTCTATAAACCCCTTATCATTCTAAGAACAATTCTAGACACTTAGGTTGCCATAGACTAGCGCAGTCCCAGTGGTTCGACTTACCCGACCAATAGCCCTATTTTACAATGATTCGTGCTATTGCGAAGGTTGATGTTTAATTGACCAACCGATCATCATATTATATCTAATTGTCCTAACTCAAATGGATAAAGCCAGACGAAGAATAAGGGAGGAAATTACAAAGGAAGGTTTGGTAGAAAAGCTCTTATCTTAGACTGGGATGCAGCTTCTAAACACAAGAAGATGAATGTCTCTTTATGGCTATTCTTGAACCAACATAAATTTCAGTTCAAGTTGAAGATGATAGTGACACTGAGATTGAGGAAATTCTTGAAGAATGTGAAAGGCTTACAGTGAAGTGTAATCAACTGAAGTCTCAGATAAAAAGGCTCAATTCAGAATTGTTAAAGTCCAAACAAGTTCTCACTAAACACTTTAAACTTAAACTATCAATGATGTGTTCAATTTCTTTTACCTTTCAAAGCCTATTGAAACCTCAAGTCAACATTCAGTGGTCTACTAAAAAGTGTAAAGAAGAGCTGTGTCTCATTCTTGAAAAAAGATCCCTAAAGATGGCTGAGATCTGGAAACAATCCATAAAGTAAATTGGGAAGATTAGAATTGGCTATGTGTGTGATACAGCTACAAAGGTCAATCAAGCTCACTCTATAATTGTTAAAGCCACAAGTGGTGAAGTGTATGCAAGGTATCCTGTTATAAACCTTTGAGATCAAAATTTGATTTGCTTGACAACAATTTCAATTCCTTAAGATTAAACAGAAGTTATTTTGTTACAACATCTATAAGAAACTTCAAAGTAACTAAAATGTACATGAAGAAGTCTGATATAGCTCAAGCTCAGAAGGTCAAAAACAAAGATTCTATTGTGAAATCCAGAATGATGTGGATTCCTAAGAAGTTAAACTCGATCAGTGAATCTGCTTGTGTATACAGCCTTCAAGGCTTGTAACAAAGTGGATAGATGGTTTATTGACAGTGGCTACTCAAGACATATGATAGGTGATGGTTCTGAATTTATCACTTTGAAATAATTTGACGGTGGAAATGTGATCTTTGGAGACAATCAGAAGGCTAAAATTGTTGGTATAGGTACTGTGAGCGAGTTTGAAGAATTGCCTGAGATTCAAGAAGTCTTACTTGTTGAAGGACTCAAACACAACCTTCTCAGTGTAAGTCAGTTATGTGATAGTGGGAGGACTGTGTGTTTTGACAAAGAAAAGTGTAATGTAGTTGATCTTAAACCAAAATAGGTTCTCTTCTCAGCATGTAGATTATCAGGAAATGTTTATACTGTCACTGAAGAATTCCAAGTTACACAATGCAACTTGACAACCTGTGATGAAGCTAATCTGTGGCATAAGAGACTAGGGTATCTTCATTCAAGAAATTTGTCCAAGATTTTAAAGTTAAAAGCTATCAAAGGACTTCTTGAACTCAATTTTAAAGATGATCCTCTCTGTAAAACCTGTCAACAAGGAAAAGAAACCAAAGTTTCATTTCCTTCAAAAGAAATCAACACTTCTAGAGCACTTGGCTTGATACACATGGATCTCTGTGGTCCTACTAGAACTACTGGCATTGGTGGGAATAAGTACTTTATGCTTCTTATTGATGATTTTAGTAGAATAGTGCGGGTTTACTTTCTAAAGGAGAAATCAGAAGCTATCACATACTTTATTAAGTTTGTTAATCTTGTTGAAAATGAAAGAAGTAGCACTGTGAAGAGACTTAGGTCTGACTTTGGCTCAGAATTAATCATGAAGGAATTTGAGCACTACTATGATGATAAGGGTATTAAGAAAGAATTCTCAGCTATAGCTACTCCTCAACATAATAGGGTTATGGAGAGAAAAAACAGGATAGTTCAAGAAATGGGTAGAACAATGCTGTTAGAAAAGGGTCTAGCAAAGGATTTTTGGGTTGAAGCTGTGAGTACTGTTGTGCACATCATAAATAGGGTTCTTCTCAGACCTAATTCAACCAAAACACCTTATGAATTGTGGTATAGAAGACCTGTAACTGTTCACTACTTCAAAATATTTGGCAGCAAATGTTATATATTGAATCACATTGATAGTTTGGGCAAGTTTAGATAAAGGCATATTCTTGTGGTATTCTACAAAAAAATAAAGCTTATAGGTGCTACAATCTAAGGTCTTCAAAGGTGGTTGAGTCAATTCATGTGAAGTTTGATGAGAATCCTCTTGAAGACTGTGACAATAGCTTTGGTTCAAATGAAACTAGTTCCTAAGTTACTAAACCTAAAGGTCTAAGAGAAACCACTTATCCAGTGCTACAAAAACAGGTTCAAGCTGAGAACATCATTGGTTCACCTCAAGCTGGAGTTCAAACAAGAAACAAAACGAAGTTAAATGATTTAGAAGCTGAAGATGGTGAAGAATACAGTCATTTTGCTATACTGTCATCAATTGAACTAAAGTCCTATTTTGAAACTCAGAAAAGTAAAGATTGGTTAGCTGCTACGGAAGAAGAACTTGATCAAATTAATAAGAATGATACCTGGACACTTGTTTCTAGGATTAAAGACAAGAATGTAATTGGCTCAAAGTGAATTTTCAAAAATAAAATGGATAAGAAAGGATCAGTTAGCAGGTTTAAGGCAAGACTAGTGTGTAAAGGTTACTCTTAGCAGGCTGGCATTGATTATGGTGAAACTTATGCTCCAGTTACAAGAATGGAATCCATTAGAATGCTTTTATCTTTTGCTTGTCACAAACAAGTCAAAGTATACCAAATGGATGTCAAGTCTGCTTTCCTTAATGGAGACCTAAATGAAGAAGTTTACTTGGAACAACCTGAAGGCTTTTAAGATTCAGAGTTTCCTTCTCATGTTTACAAACTAAGTAAGGCTTTGTATGGTCTTAAATAAGCCCTAGAGCCTGGTATGAAAAGCTGCATCAGTTCTTAGTTGAATAAGGATTTCATAGAGGCAAGGTTAATAATACTCTTTATGTAAAAACTCATTAAGAATAATTTCTAATTCTACAAATCTATGTTGATGATATCATAATTTGTGGCTCAGACACCTCATTAACTTCAGAATTTGCTAATCTTATAAAGACAAGGCCTGAAATGTCACTCTTGGGGACTCTCAGATACTTTTTAGGCCTGCAACTTACTCAAACATCCACTAGAATCTTCATTTCTCAGCAAAAGTATGCCTCTGAGCTACTTAAAAAGTTCAAAATGGATGATTATAAGGTTGTCTCAACACCACTATGTCCTAATACCAAACTCTCACCGGAGTGCACCACTGAAGCAATTCCTTCAACACTTTACAGGTCAACCATTGGTAGTTTGTTGTATCTTAATGCTTCAAGGACTGTTATAATGTACTTAGTGGGTTTAGTGGCCAGATTTCAAAGTAATTCAGAGGCTTCTCATCTCGAAGCAGCCAAAAGAATTCTCAGATATGTCAAGGGCACCATTTCATATGGTTTATACTACATTTTCTCACCCTCAATGTCTATTGCAGCCTTCTCAGATGTTGATTGGGGTGGATATTTACCTGACAGAAAAAGTATATCTAGTTGCTGTTATGTTCTTGGCTCCAATGTAGTTTCTTGGCTATGTAAAAAGCAAGACACTGTCTCTCTTTCAACCTCTGAAGCTGAGTATATAGCTAACTCACAAGCTGGTTCATAACTACTTTAGATGAAAACTACACTCTCAGACCTTGGAATTCAATTTTCAGGACCTCCAAAGCTTTTCTGTGATAACCAAAGTGCTATTGCTATTAGTAAAAATCCCATATTGTTCTAGAAAAGCAAACATATTGATATCAGGTATCACTTTCTCAGAGATAAAGTTCAAAAAGGCCTTATTGATATTACTTACTTGCCCACTGAAGATCAACTTACAGATATCATGACCAAACTTCTTCTTCCTCAGAGATTTTTAACCCTTAGAGATCTTCTCAAGGTTGTTCCTCCTCCCTTCTAAACTTATCTTATTGGTCCTACTCACCTTTTGACCTTTAATGCCAAAAAGGGGGAGAAATGAACTGAAATAAGGATAGCTTCAAGCTATTCCTTTTGCATTTGCGTTGCTTTATTTAATGAATCTTTAAAAGTTCTCACTCTCAAGATATTATTTCAAGTTTAATTGCTTTTGTCATTAAAGGCAAAAGAGGGAGATTGTTGGTCTTAAGTTACCTTAAGGAATGTTTGCCATTTAATGTCAAAAAGTATTGTTTCAGTGGCTTCAATTATGAATTCTATCTGCATTGTGTTTTGAAATAAGGTCCAGGGGAAGTACTATCATTTACTACTTTGTATCACATTGTACTCAGTGGTCTATAATAGTGCATCGCAATGTACCAGTCTGTTTTGATCAAAATCACTGTGACAATGAAGGTCCAGTACTTCAGTTTTAGCTACAAGTGCTTACAGGGGTACAATGGTTTTTTCTCAGTTGTATTCCATTGACATATGTTTGCTTTGGTAGCTGCATTGCACTGAATTGCTTTGGTTGAGCTGATAAGCGCCGAATATTGCATATTCAAGCGCCCTTAATTGCATTAGTTAAGTCCATTGTTCGTTTAATTATGTCGATTACTTTCATTTGTATGTTTTTGTGCATTTTCAGGTTCAATTGCAATAAAGGAGCAAGAAGGGTGTTTTGTAGAGTTTTTGAATATCAAGGTGCCAATTCTGAAATTCTGGCAGCAGTGAAGCCCAAACTTTGTTCGCCATTTTGACCTACCAAACTCAAGAACTGGACTTCTATCATAACATGAAAGATTTAGAGCTCTGAATCAGCTTTCCAAATCTTCAAGCGGTTTGTCATTCGGAGTTCAGAGCAGAGAGTTATGATCTTCTTATCAAAGGTGCGCAGAACTGCCTGGCAGCACTGAAGTACTGCCTTTCTCCCCATTTTCGACCAACCAGACTTGAGATTTGGGTCTTCATCAAAACATGATGTTTTTAAAAATCTGAATCTGCTCTCCAAATCTTTAAATGGTTCATCATTCGGAGTTCAGAGCACAAAGTTATGGCCGTTTTACGAAAGTAGGTCCGGGCGGAGCAAACCAAGCATAGGGCATTCTGGCCAATTTTCGAGTGCTCGAGGCCTTATTTCGAGTGCTCAAAATTAGGGCAGATTGCTTCACGAGATCAGCCACTTGTGCTCAGAAATTTGCTAACTTTGTATGCTCGCTTTATGAGTTGGTTGGGGATGTTTCTTGGAGGAAAGAGAGGGCTTTTTGGGTGGATTAACATGTCTACAAAAGAGGGGAGCCAATTCTGAAATTCTGGCAGCAGTGAAGCTCGATTTTGATTGCCACTTTTGACCCAGAAAGCTCGAGATCTGGACTTCCATTATAAAATCGAATATTTAGAGCTCTGAGTTAGCTTTCTAAATATTCAAACGGTTTGTCATTCGGAGCTCGGAACAGAGAGTTATGGCCTTGTTACCAGAGGTGCGCAGAACTGCCTAGCAGCAATGAAATTCTGCCTTGATCTTCATTTTCGACCAACCATCCTTGAGAATTGGATCTCCACCAAAACATGAAGTATTTAAAGCTCTGAATTAGATCTCTAAATCTTCAAACGGTTCATCATTCAGAGTTCGGACCGCAAAGTTATGGCTGTTTAACCGAAGTAGGTCTGGGCGGAGCAAGGCAAGAATGGAGCATTCTGCTCCAATTTCGAGTGCTCGAGCCCTTATTTCGAGTGCTCGAAATCAGGGCAGAATTGTATCCGGAAATGGCCCATTTTTAGCCACTTGCATCTTGGGTTCCTCAATTCTAATTTCCCTCTTTAATGGTTGGTTGGAGATGTTGGTTGGTGGGGGTTTCTAGAGCCTTATCTCTAGAAGATAAGAGAGGGAAGCCACACAATACATTAATCCTACATTTTCTACAAGATTAGAGGAGAGAGAAGAGAGCAAAAGAGGTGTGTTCTTCAAGCTCCAAGAAGGTTGCATGAAAATGGCCATAAAGATAGAGCTTCTTCCTTCTTCTAGCTTAGCAATGGGTAACTAACTCTTTCTCTAGGGAGGTGATGAAGTCCCTCCCTTGTAAGCATGTCCTAGGGTAGTCTATATTGGGGGATTGCAATGTATATTTATGGTCTTTTTCATAGCTAAGAGCACTTCATTTGGTGTAATGAATGTTTATATAAGTATGGATGATTTCTTCAAGCTCATTATCTTATGTTAGGTGATGTCTTGTATTAATCTTTTTGCTTGAGTTACATGGTGAGAATGGAAACAAGGTTATGAAATGATTTAATGGCATGTTGATAGGTGACTTTGATAGACCATTGCTTAGGAAATCTTTTGATGGTGTATGCTTAAACTCTAGCTCCATGTGCTTCATCATTTTGTCAAGAATTTGATAGTCTTTCATTTAAGTAAACGTGTATAAGCTACACCTTAGTTAGGTAGTCTCAACATGTTTACCCTTTTGATGGATTATACTTGTTTGAGACCTAATGTACCTCTTGATTACTTACATGGCAACTATGTGTTGCTATGTAGTTTTTGACCATCATATGTTGTTTTTCCCCTAATTTAGGTCTAATTTAGCATGTGTATAGGGATGGAGGCGGATTCACTTCCTTAGTCTTCTTTGCTCATCTTTCATCTCTTAAATTCTTGCAAGTTTTTCATTAATGCATATTTCAATTCATAGTACAAGTGACAAACCAACAAAACTCTATATACCCCCTCATCATTCTAAAAGTAGTCTAGACTCTTAGGTTGCCATAGACTAGCGCAGTCCCAGTGGTTCGACTTACCCGACCAATAGTCCTATTTTACAATGATTCGTGCTATTGCGAAGGTTGATGTATAGTTGATCAACCGATCATGAGCCTACATTGTTAATTATACAGCTTCAGGACTATTTACTAGCTGTGAAGGATTTAATTTGTTATAAGGGTATTTTGGTCCTTTCTATTTGTATTCAAGCGCGTTGCATGGTGTGTTGTCAACGACGCCGCGATAAAATGTGTAGTGTGACCAAGTTTAAATTTGTAAAATGTCACTACCACTTCTAACTAAAATATAGCTAGAGTGAGTAGGGATCGTCCCAAGGGATCGGAGGCGTGTTTGTGATGGAAATTAATGTCAGATTAGTAGGTCAAGTGATCAAAGATCAAGAAACAAGTGTGATGCATTAAATAAACCTCAAGAGTGTTCAATTAAGCACTCTGCCTTGACTATCACTAGATTAACATCATCAACACACATAGACATGCATCAATTCCATTAAATCTAGAGAAAAACACATGAACATCAATTCCAGCATACATAGACATATGACTAGAGCCAAATGATCAATTGGAAGCATTAAATCATACAAATCAAGTAGAGGTTACAAGATATATATTTATTCATGGTCAAAATATTCATTGTAACTAAAATCCCCAAAAATACTTAAAAGCTAAGTTTGAGAAGCAAGCCTAGGCCATCTCTAGCCCTAAGAGAAGGATTTAGCCACTCATGGTAGTGGACATGGAACGCTCAAGGGCTAGCTTGGAGGTTGACATCATCATCTTCATCCTTACTTTCTTCCAAAACCTTAGTTCTAGAGAGAAAAATTTTCTATTCTCTAATTGATAATCAAAAACTCTCTATCTATTACAATGATTGTTCAATAAATCAATTACACACTCATTTGAGTAAGGACCAAGTCAGAATAATAGCCTGTGATTGGACGAAATTCGCAACTATGCATGGTAGGTTAAAACGGCGCTCGGGAATTAGACAACTCATTGCCAGCAGCATTTTCGATTGATCAAAGATGTTCGATCGATCAAACACTAGAGCTTCAATCGATCAAAGCTGACGTGGCACAAAAATATCTTTTGACTTTATCCAAATGGCTGAGCTAGCACCGCCTTGATTTCAATCGATTGAAGTTCACTTCAATCGATCGAAACTCCCCTTCAATTGATCGAAGTTCCCCTGATGCAATTTCTTGGCTTCTTTCCAACTTTGCTCCTTAGTTCCAAAAATGATCTAAATGGCTCTTGTTAGCCTGTTTGAACATTATTCATCTGAAATAGATAATAACATAAATAAGTATCTAAGACATGAAAATAAGATAAATGATTAGACTAGAATACCTTAACTTAGGTGCTAAATTGCGTCACATTTGAGCACTCATCATTGCACGTCCCAATGGTCCTAGAGAGATTGTATATACAAGAATATTACATTTCTTGGAGGCTAAGTCTAGAGGAAAATACAATTTGTAGCCTTGCAATGTGTGTCCATGAATTCTGGTGTGCATAGTGACAAAATAGTTCAGGTGGCTTGCTGTGATTGGTTCTCTCATTTGAAAATATCTAAAATATGCTCTATCAATTATTGGCTAAAGGTGACAGGTATATATCCTTGGTGTATGAGGTCTTATGTAATTCAGTGACACTATAATTATGCTGTTATAGTGTCTTTTAGGGTTCAAGCCTGAAAATAAAGTTGAGAAAAGTAAGCTGCAGCTCGCATTCTCTCGAGAGCTTTGAATGAACACGTTCTTCTTAGTGTTTTGATGATGATTCATGCAAGAAAAACTCACTTAATCTTGTTCGGTTAGTGTATTTACTTAGAAGATGTTGCTGATGTCAGTTCTACTAGTGCAAGGGCTGGTTTGAGTAGTGAATTTGTGTTTTAAGCAGCTGTGGTCTATTCTAAAGGTT